AAGCCCACAATTCTGTTATGTAAAAATTAATTTTCACCCTGCCAAGGAGTACATCAAATTCTGCAGGGATTTTGTAAGGTGGGCCCTGAGTGCATAATGCGATTTACAAATCGGAACCTTGCAGGGGTCTTTTAAGACAGAGATTCACGCCGCCCAGATCACACCAGCCTACATGAGGAACAAAAGTTTTGTATTTTGCTTGCTTTTATTTTTATTTTAACTATTAAATGTGGCGATGCCAATACAGCTGTGGAAACACAGGCTGTGCCCTATTTTGCCTTATGCATCATCAAGAAAATTGCCAGCTCCAATTTGATTCCAAAATTTTTATTGTGATGATGGAGTTAACAAAAGACGCAGCTTGATTTGCAAACACCAGGCAGGGCCAGCGATGGGGCCAACTGGAAGAATATATTGTTTTGAACCATTTTATTGCTACTGAAGGAAAATATTCACAAACTGACAAGCATATGGAACATCCTGATGCATGTTCAGTAAGATTTCAAAGAATCTTTGCTTTTAAGGGGTCTTACCTCTCATTTACTACAATCTCCCACACAAGCAGAAAGCTCTTTTTAAGTGTCTATGACTATTTTTTACAAGTTCTTTCAATATTCCAGGAATTTCCTACTTCCTCCACTAAATAAAAAAATACTGCTGAGCATGGTGGCTCATGCCTGCAATCCCAGCACTTTGGAAGGCCAAGGCAGGAGGATTGCTTGAGCCCAGGAGACTGAGACCAGCCTGGGCAAGATAGCAAGACCTTGTCTCTACCAAAAAAAAAAAAAAAATCAAAACATTAGCTGGGTATGGTGGTGCATACCTATAGGCTCAGCTACTCAGGAGGCTGAGGCAGAAGAATTGCCTGACCCCAGGAGGTTGAGGCTGTGGTAAGCTATTATTATGCCACTGTACTCCAACCTGGGGAGACAGAATGAGACCTTGACTCAAAAGAAACAAACAAAAACATACACTTTCACTAGTTCTTCCTTATGCTTGGACAAAATTTGCATCCTTAGGACTTATTCCCATTGGTCCCATTTTAGTCCCAAGATTTAGTATATAAAAACCCAGATTAACAAGTGTATGATAGGCTATATATGCAAAATGGATGACTATGGAACAGATGCAAATTCTTCAGTTAAAATGCAAACTGATTGTACATGATTAGACTTTTTTATTCCATGAAGACTTCTGATAAGACTGAAAGGATGAAGAGCAGCAGGTTGATCATGACGTGTGTAAGGAGCTAGAGAACGGAGGGCCTCTGAATGAGCTTAGAATGATGAGTTTGACATTATTCTGTTTGAAAGGGTTGAGGTTGGCATAAAATTTCAAGTTTTCACAGCTGGTGGGGAAAGACCAGATCTTGAGTCATGTATCTGAGTACAAGCAGTTTATCTGGGAGGTGATTCCAAGAGGCTCCAGGAGGAAAGTGAGGAAGAGGGACAGAAAGCAATTAATAAAACATGTCTTGTCACTCAGATGACCACTAGGGACAGCTGGAACTCAATCCTTCGGGGAACTCTGGGAAACCATCCAAAACTCACATCTCAGTCCTCCCACCTGAGGTGTGAGGGAGCTGGGGTATTTATACCCTGACTCCAATCAGTTGCATATGAATAAATTATTTCACAATGGTAGGAAAAGACCAGACCAGCATGTCTGAATTCCCTCAGAAGCAGACCTTGAGTCAAAGATTCAAGTACAACTATTTATTTGGGAGTTGGTGGAGAAAGTACCAGTAGAGAGCCGAGGCAGCTCCTGGAGTGTTAGTTTTCTGGCACTTTCGGCCTGCCTCTTGCACAGGTCAGAGTGGCTTTCGACAGTTCTGAAAAGGCCTGCAGACATGGGGTGGAGGTTCCAGCAGAAGTTGTCTAGAGCACATGTGCACAAATACACACACACACACACACACACACACACACAATGAAGTCTGAGAGATATGGGCATGTCACTGATAGCCTCATTAAAGTGGTCATTCATTAAATAACTAGTGGAAGTGAAAAACTGAGCAAGTATCTAGTGTAGCAGACCCACTGTGGAGTTTTCAGTCAAAGCCATCCAAGATAAAAAGCAGAGATGGGCTGGATCTGCATTCTGGGTCAGCCACTGATGAGATTTAAAAACCTCAGATGAGGCCAGGCACGGTGGCTCAAGCCTATAATCCCAGCACTTTGGGAGGCTGAGGCAAGAGGATTGCCTGAGCACAGGGATTTGAGACCAGCCTGGGCAAAATGGTGAGAACTCATCTCTACAATAAATCAAAAAATTAGCCAGGTGTGGTAGCACACACCTGTAATTCCAGCTACTTAGAAGGCTGAAGTTGGAAGGATTGCCTCAGCCTAGCAGGTTGAGGCTGTGGTGGCTGGGAGTATGCCACTGCACTCCAGACTGGGTGACAGAGTGAGACTCCAACTCAAAAAAGGCAAAAGAAAAAAAAAAAACCTTGGATGAGTCTGGGCAGGTATAAAATGGAAAGACTCTCCCTCCCTTAGCTCTCCCACGTCAGGTTATGGGAATAAAATGAGATAATACATATATAAATCCATTGAAATGTAAAAAAAGCACCAAACAAAACACAAGATATGAAGCACAATGATGGATGCTTGTTTGAAACAGGAATTTTAGTTCATACTTTAGAGAAATTATATTTCCTTTAATTTGAGACTTTCATCAGAAAAAAATGGAACAGATCACTGTACATTTAGAATGTTCTCTGGAGCCTCATTCTTTGGGGGAGTTGATAGGAAGATGGCAGCAAAATGCATTGATGACTCTTTTCTTAGCTCTAATGAGCTGCTGATGACTTGTGAATCCATTCCCGAGTTATTTGGAGTCTACAATAGTAGCTCCCTGGTGACAATTTTATAAATAAACATCTTTGTGTCAATCAACATAAAGCTGATTTTCAAAAATAAACAAGGCACAGAAGATAAGAAAAGTTTTCCTACTTCCTTTACTAACCACCTATCCTAGACCAATGAACTTTATGTAAAAAAAAAAATGAAAGGAGGTGGAGAGAAGTAGGACTTCTTTTATCTTTAGCACCCATATCTCTGTGGGTTTTTGCTAGGTAGAGGTAGGTATATTAGGCTATGCCTGTTTTTAAGTCCTAGGTTCAGTTTAAGTTTGGAATTTCAACCCCCCCAAAAAGTTTCAGAGAGGAATTTTTCATCTATTCTATGTACAGAACATTAGTAGCATCAGCGCCAGTCAGGAACACACTGGAAGGGACATATTTTCAACTTTTTCTTCATAACAGCCATGGGGTGGGGGTGGAGAAACAGCTTAAATTGTTTCAAGACTTACTTTGTGTTTGACACTGAGCTAAGTACATCATATAGATTCTAACTTACTTTTTTTTTTTTTGAGTTGGAGTCTCACTCTGGCCACCACAGCTTCGACCTGCTGAGTTCAGGTGATCCTTCTGCCTCAGCCTTCCATGTATCTGGAACTACAGGTGCACAGCACCACGCCCAGCTAATTTTATGATTTATTGTAGAGACAAGGTCTCACCAAGTTCCCCAGGCTGGTCTCGAACCTCTAGGCTCAGGCAATCCTCTTGCTTAGGCCTCCCAAAGTGCTGGGATTACAGGTTTGAGCCACTGTGGCTGGCCTAGATTTTAATGTTTAATCCTCCCCACAATTCTTTGGGTTAGATGCTATTTTTTTAAAAATCTCCATTTATACATGACAAAACTAAGTCATAAAAAGGTTCCTATTTAGTGCCACTTTCAGAGAAGAATTTAAGCATTTGAAAATGAGAATGACAACTTATGGTCCAGGGCTGTCTCATGCTGAAAAGTTCCTTCCAAACACTCCCATGACCTCTTCACTGAGAAGCATGGGCGAGCAAGACTCCACTACTAACGAATAATGACTTCAAATCTCTCTTGGAGAAAATGTCACCATCAACACAAAAAGGAAACAACTCTCCACTTGTGGCTCTGCAAGTTTTCTTTAATAAGTGTGTGTGTATAGAGGAGGTCTACACACTCATGCACTTGGTGTTCCCAACAGGGAATAAAATCAACCAAATCGCTACCGGCTGTGGGCAAGTCCTCTGCCATCACCCAAAGTGTTCCTCTTCCAATTTTTAACAATCGTGATACAATTTTCTAGACAGGCGAAAGTATAGTAATTTGAAATAACCTGATTTTGCCCTGGAATACCCAAGCAGGTGAAAGGGTAACATAGTGAAATAACAATTGCTAGGGATGACACAACACTTACTGAGCACTAAGTTGACTCCAGACACTGTGTAAGGCACGTAACATGGCTCCTCTCAGTGAAACATCACAACTCACCCATGCAGGAGGTATTACTATTATGCCCACTTGACAAGTGAAGAAACTCGGGTTTAGAGGAGTGAATTAGTGTACCCAAGGTCACTAGCCTGGCTGTCTCTGTCAGCCACAAGAACCCAAACACTTAACCTCAAAAACACCCATGGATGCGATAAGACCTCATTCAATTAAAACATACAAGTTTGTGATTACCTTATTTCTCATGGTGAAAATCCTGATACAGACAATATTTTAAAATTGATTCTACTACTTTATATAGATAGAAATAAGCAAGATTTAAAAACAACTACTTGCCACAGACTTATACTACATAATGATTTGTCAAAGACAAACACAGAAGCCCTAATTGTTGAGATTAAAACTTAAATTTTTCAAGTTCTTGATTTGAAAAAGTCACTTGTTCTATTTGGCTTTGTGTGTGTGTGCATGTGTGTGTAAAATCCAGATATGCCAGTAATTATTTCACCATAACTTATACCTACTCCAACAATGAACATTCCAAAAATGAGCATTCTGGATTTGGGAAATTTACCTGCATAGCAACTGTGTCTGACTGCACCTGGGCACATTGATTGTGTTCATAGATATTTGCACAAGGATGGGATAAACCATGGAAACTACTCCCTACAGGGGCTGGAGAAGGAAACATAAAATATCCTATCTAGTTCCATCACTCAGGAAATAGCAGAGCTATGGATAAGGCATGGAGTTAATTTTCCAGTGTGTCCCACTGACAGCCACCATACCTTGACTTCCTTGGACTCTTGGCTCTTGCGGTGGTTTCAGAACATCATCGGGATGTGGGAAACAGAGTCCGTGGAAAGGCCCCAAATCAAAGCACTCATGCAACAGCTGCAAGTTCACACTTGAGCACAGGCTCATGAACCCAACAGCTACACCTTCCACCTGAAACAACGAAAACACTTCATTACTCTACTAGAATTCAAATGATCCTCATCATGAAACTTCTATGAGCCCTCAGCACGTGGTCTGTTGGTGATTTGGCAGACATTTTGAGATATTTTAGGGAGAAAGAAGTGTCTTCCTTAAATACATACAATATGCTCAAAATATGTCCAATGAGTAATGACCGTGGACACTTCCAGAGGGACATAAGTAACTTAGGGAAGCTGCCAGAGAGTTCTTGAGGTGAAACTACTAGAACGTAATACCTGCCTTCTTTGCCCAGATCATGCACTGGCTGCCCCATATACTCTGCCATTTGGTGTCTTTTTTTTTGTCTTATTCCATCACAAGCCCAGCCCTCCTGTCCCCTCCACCATGCTCAGTCCTCAGTAAGACAGGTCATTGTTCCAATGTCCATCTGATAGGCCCCCAATTCAGAGAAAGTTCATGGTCACTAGCTCCTTTCAGGTAGAAATGCCTCCATTTTCCTTGAAGTCATGTATGTGTTGGTTGAATGACGTGATAGGAAGGAGATGTAGGGAGAGGTTTGGTGGGAATTGTTCAAGTGAAGTAGATGAGTCAGGCGGGCTGGCTCAGTAGAGGATCTGATTTGCAAGCCTCCCAGCATCCAAACAGATACTTACCATGGGCTCTGTTATTTTAAGCCTTAGATGAGAAATGCATAAGCAGGAAGATGAGTAACTAGCTGACCTGGATCTATTATTGGTACCAAAATATTATAAATTAACAACAGTTTTTAATTCCATCATATTCCACTCTGAGATGACCAGCTGAAACTCCTCATTATATTATCCCTTCAATAATTCTGAATTTCATCCATTCTTCTCTGAAAGGAAAGCACTTAAAATGTAAAAAGAGAGGTAAAATAAGTAATTCTTTAAATTTCACATAAATATGTGTCTGTAGTTCCGCCTACTTGGAAGGCTGAGTTGGAAGGATTGCTTGAGCCCAGTAGGTCGAGGCTGCGGTGGCTGTGAGCGTTCCACTGCACTCCAGCCTAGGCAACAGAGTGAGACTCCAACTCAAAAAATACTAATAACAATAATAATAAATTTCACATAAATAATTCCTGTTGATTATTAAGTAGATTTTAAGCAAATTGGAGTTGACTGGTTAGACTCTGACAGCTCTTATTAGAAATTTCCATTTACTGGGACGGTAGTGTTCAGATTTTATGTCTGAGATAACCATTCCATTCAGAAAGTAGAACAACTTGGCTGACCACAGTGGCTCTAGCCAGGGCGAGAGGATAACTTAAGGCTAGGAGTTTGACACCGTCCTGGGCAACAAAAGGAGACCCCCAGTTCTAAAAAAAAAAGTAAACAATTAGCCAGGTGCAGTGGCACACACCTGTAGTCCCAGCTATTCAGAGTCTGAGGCAAGAGGATCACTTGAGCTTAGAAACTCAAGTTTATAGTGAAATATGATCATGCCACTATACTCCAGCCTGAGTGACAGAGTGAGATCCTGCAAGAAAAAAAAAAGGAAAAAAAAAAAAAGCAGATGAACTCACCAACCACAGGCATCCCTATTCCCAAGAGTGCAACATCTTTCCATAAACACCCAATCAAAGGGAATGGTTACTGCTGTAACCTCCCAAAATAGATAATCAAGCTATAAGAATGAACAGTCCTTTATATAACACCGAAAAAAGATACGTATTGACTACTGTTTGTTCTCAAATATGTTTTCCAATTAAAAACCATTTGTTCTCAGATATGTTTAGAAATAAAAGTGAGCCACCCTTTATTTTCTTCTTACTGCTGAAATACAAGGGGAAATTTTAAAGTATAATTTTCCATGCATATCCCTTGCTTTACAGGTCCCCTAAAATGACACTTGCTGTAAAAGGCCAGATTTACACAGCTGTTTTATAAAGCCATTGCCACTTTAATAAAAGTCCAAAATAAACATTTTAATTTTTTTCCCAAATAACAAGCGATTATTTGTCTTGTTTGCACTTGTGAACAAAGGCTGGGTAGCCGCAGTTGTCTGGCTTCTCTGTAATTTTAGGCCCAAGACTCAGCAGACGCTGATTAACCAATCCATCTACCATATGTGCAGAAAGAGACGGCCAGCCTCACTCTCGGCAGGGAAAATTGGCATCCATCTTGGTTCACATGGAGATGTCCTTCTAATCTACACCCGCACTGGCGCAACGAAATTTCGATGGCCTGAAATACCTTTTGCTGGCTTCGCAGAAAGCTGCATGTGCATGATAAGAATGTATTATTTATAAGACTGCTGTTAGTAATGAGCTATTACACTAATGGCTCATTGTGTTTGGAATTTGATTTCAAATGGCATGGATCACACATTCTGATGAAAATGAGAAAAACATGTTTTGCCATTAGGAACAAAGATTTAACGTTCTCCGATTCTACAACCTGTTATATTCCCATCATTCATCCAGGGTTGTAACAATTTACAAAAGTTCACAATTATAGACTACAACAGAGAAGGACATACTGTGGAAGTGTCTGCTTTTTCCTTTGCATTTCTTCCAAATAACTGATTTGAGAAACACTGTCCTTAAATATGAAATGCATCTTTGTGTATGTGTGTGTTTTCTGAAAAAATATATGGATTTAACAGACTTTTAAACTTGGTGTGACAAAAAGACATTGATTGCTGGCTGTTACTTATCTTCCAGGTGACAGAAGTACTCTCTACCACAAAAGTGTCTTAGATTATCTTATACTAGAGGACATAACGAAGAGTTTTGTTATTGTTGTTGCTTGTCCTGTGAGGACTGACATGATGATATGTAAGGTTAAGATTACTAAAAAACCATACATACAGTGGGCTTATCTTCCCAAACAGGTCCGTTTAGCACTATGTGTGTACATGATCGTGTATGTGCTCATCCCAAAAGCCTACCCATCCCCTCTAGGTGACAATGTTCCACAGTGAGGGTTTTGCCCTTATTGTGACCACTACTGGCTTTGACCCTCTCCTCCTGATGCCAAGTACATGGCTGACCTGGCAGCCTCTCCCTGCCTCCAGGTCCGTGGTGCTGACTCGGACCACTGCTGCCCACATCCTGAATGGTGCCAAAGTAGACACTCTGCCCATCTGTCTCCAGGAGCCGCCCTTGGCCTCCAACTGCCCTACCCTGAAATCTCGGCTTGGAATAAACACCAGATGTCAAGGTAAGCCAGGATACAACTATGACAAGGATCCACAACAACAGGATAACTCAGAACTCCTCCAAAGTAGCTATCAAGCCAAAGAAAAGCCTCAAAACTAAAGTCCTTTGCCTAGTAAGTGTTTCTCTCAGGGCCCAGCATGGCTCTCAGGCGTCTACACACATGGCCTGTACCTGCCACAACTGGTTTGGGAAGAGACAGACTCCATGTACTTATTCTATTATCTCTGGTCATGATGGTTCCCTTAAATCAGGCCTTTCTAACCTGCGGCCCACGGCAGCCCCACAAAATCTGTTAACACCATGTATTTCTTAGCATCTATTTTCTTCGTGACCTCATATGTAGTTCCATTTTTGAAATTCACAATTATGCCTTATTCATGACATTGCTTTTTGGCAGTACATGTATTTGTGAACAGCTGTTTTCAATGATGAAGCACACAAAGAACAAAATTCAAACAAAGAACAAAATTCAAACAAACATTTCTGATGAGCACCTTGAGAACTCATTGAGAATTGTGACCACTTCCATGAAACCAGACACTGATAGATTGATTAGTTTTACAAAAAGAAAGTCAGAATTCCCACTAGTTTTATGTTGTTCTTATTTGTATAAACTTTGTAATTAAAAATACCAAAAAAAAATCTTATTTGTATATACACCAACTTTATGTGTGGTCCCTGACAATTCTTCTTTAGTTGATGAGGCCCAGGGAAGCCAAAATGTTGGACACCTCTGTGTTAAAGTATGGTGTGCCTATAAATGCCTAATCAGTATTCAGGGCAGGGGGCAGGAAGCCAATTTCTGTGATGCAAATACTCTCATCACAGCCATTTCAAGCAACCAGCGTGATGTCACTGAACATGACATGGGAAGAGATAGGCTGAAGCAGGCCAGTATTTTATTACATTCACTACACAGAGACCACAGAAACAAAAAACCTCAAGAGTATAGAGCATGGTAAAATAATTGAAAGTGATGAATTTCGAGTATTTATTAACTTTGTTTTAATATAATTTATTACACTGTAAGTTTATATAATTTAATTTTTAATAAAGGCTATGTTTAACAAGCAGCTTGCAAAGTTCCTGAGGACTTAACAATTAGCCCCTGAGAGCCAGAGCTAGCTGCCTGCTGCTCACCGCTGCTGAAAGGGCCCCCAGGGAGGAGGCAGGAGGTGAGTGTTGATCTTAAGCCTCAGAAGGCTTCAGACACCAGACATGACTTGGTGCAAACTAGAGGTCCCCTCCCAGATCTAGGCTCACAGGTCTCATTTCTGCCCTTCCATTTTAATATCGAGGTCCAAGACCAGGCACAGTGGCTCACACCTGTAATCCCAGCACTTGGGGAGGCTCAGGTGGGGGATTACTTGAGTCAAAAGGTAGAGAGCAGCTTGGGCAACATAGCAAGACCTAATCTCTACAAAAATCAAAAAATTACCTGTAGCCCCAGCTACTTGGGAGGCTGAGGCAAAAGGACCACCTGGGCCCAGGAGGTCAAGGCTGCAGTGAGCTGTACTGCAGCCACTGTACTCCAGCCCGAGCAACAGAGTGAGACCCTGACTCAAAAAAAAAAAAGATCGAGGTGCAGGGACACGAAACCTCTGATACCCAAGGCAGCACAGCCTCTTGGGGGTGATCATCTTCTGCATCTCCCGAGACCCCAGAGGGTCCTTGCAGGGCTGGGACTGCAGTTGTCAGCTGTGGTTTTGCTCTGATATTGACACACACTGGACGTGAGAGACACGTGGCCAGAGACAGAAGGAACATGGGGGAAGCGGTCACTGCAACTTCTCCAAGGCACTGACCCAAGTGTTCCAGGGTGAGACTAGCACCTGGAACCAGAGAATGAAGAGTCGCCCAACATCAAAGAACTGACTGAATGAGTGGGTACAGTTTGGTCATTAAAATTCTTTTGGGATATGTATGCACTATTCTACTTCTCAGTAGTTTTCGTCTGGTTGTGTAAAGACATCGCTTTTCCAAATGGTGCTTCTGGGCCCACATGCTTCCCAAACCTTCCTTTCATCAATGGCCTGAAGCTAATGGCCAAGTGAGAAAACGGGAAAGTGAGTCCTTAAAGGACGATGCCAAAACCTAAATGTAAAGGTAAAATAAAACGAAAAACCCTTCCATACAGGATCTCAGAATCTAATTTTTAGGGCCAGTTCTCACTTTCAGAAACTAATGCCTATATCTCTAAATTCATCTCATTCTTCGCCAGATGTGTTTCACCATCATGTAGATAAGTGTTTCACCATCTGGACTGCACACTGGAATCATTTGGGGAGTTTGGATTGTGTTTATTGGCCTGTTGCACCTCTACCATAAGGTTTTTGAATTGTTATAATTCATCTATCATAAATAACCCTTTAAGAAATACAAATGGGGACCCCAAAATACAGAATTTATTTATTAAAAAATGTGTATTTATTCTTACATGTTTAAAGTTTAGTCACCTTCAAAGTACTCTCTGTTTGAAGTAATACACCTTTCAAGACACTTTTTCCACTGCTCAAAACAGTTTCTAAACTCATTGATTTTGATGCCTTTTTTTGTTTTGCCTCTTCCACATGGACAAAACATTTCCCTTTGTGGATGTTTTTCATCCAGAGAAACAAAAATGAAGTCACTCGGGGAGTGATTGGGTGAATAGGGAGGGTGAGGCATGGGGGTCGTGCCATTTTTGGTCAAAAACTGCTGAACAAAGCCGGGCTCGGTGGCTCAGCCTGTAATCCCGTGCCTTTGGGAGGCTGAGGTGAGTGGATTGACTGAGCCCGTGAGTTCGAGACCCGCCTGGGCTGTGAGACCTCATCTCTACAATAAATCAAAAAATCAGCCGGGCGTGGTAGCGCACACCTGTAGTTCCGGCTACTCGGAAGGCTGAGGCGGAAGGATCGCTGGAGCCCAGCAGGTCGAGGCTGCGGTGCCCGGGAGCGGCCACTGCACTCCAGTCTGGGCAACAGAGTGAGACTTCAACTCAAAAAAACCCAACAACTGCTGAACACTCAGCATGGTGTGGGCAGGTAAGCTTGTAAATCACCCATCATGATATGGGCAAACGTGTTGAAAGAATCTCCAAAAAAAAATTCGCTGAAGCCAAAAGCAGCCTCTCGCAACAACAGTAATTGGCAAACGGATGCCAGTGGGTTCCTAGAACACTTATCTTGCAGGGGAAACCTGTACTACAAGGGGCCCACCCTTCAAAAGATAATTTCATTTTTTGTGGGTCCTCCCTCATATACAATTCTGTAGCTTTCAGTGTATTCACAAAGTTGTGCACCCCTATCACTACTATCTAATTCCTGCAAAGAAATCCCATATACATTAGCCACTTCCCATTTTCCTCCCCCATCAGCTACTAATCTACTTTCTGTCTCTGTGGACTTGCCTATTCTAGACTTTCCTGTCAATGTGACCGTACAATATGTATCTTTATGCCTGACTTCTTTTCCTTAGCATATTGTTTTCAAGGTTCCAACATGCTATAGCCTGTATCAGTGAGTGCTTCCATCTCTTTTATTTCCCAATAATATTCCATTGTATGGATATACCACATTTGTTTATCCATCCATCAGTAGATGGGCATAAAGTGGGCTGTTTCCACTTTTTGTATGTTATGAATAATGCAGCTGTGGACATCTATGTACAAATCTTTGTGTGGACATGTGTTTTCAACTCCAGGCATGGAATTACTGGGCCAAATGGTAACTCTGTATTTAACTTTTGAAGGATATGTCAGACTTTTCCAAAATGGCTGCATCATTTTATAATCCCACCAGCAATGAGGGTTCCATTTCTCCACATCTTTGCCAATGTTTGCTATTGTCCTTCTTTTTTATTATAACCATGCTAATTGAGGTAAAGTGGTATCTCACTATGGTTTTGATTTGCATTTCCTTAATGACTAATGGCGTTTAACATTTTTTCATTTGTTTATTGGAATTTGTATATATATATATTTTTTTAAAGGAATATCTGTTTGAAGCCTTTGCCCACATTTTATTTGGACTATTTGTTTTTTTATTGTCACAAGAGTTCTTCATATATTCTAGATTCAAGTCCCTTGGCATGGAATGGATAGTCTAAAAGCCTCCCAGGTGATTCTCATATGCCAAGTTAAAGAACCCCTGATGTAGAACAGAGCCTCAAACCGCTCGTGTTATCCAAATAAGAGAACTTTGGACTCTTAAGTTTAAAGTAATATTCTTTAAACAGCTCTTAAGTTTTAGCAAATGATGAGAAATGAATACCATATGAAGAATGATGAACTAGTGGGTGTAGGTTCTGTCTTTTGGACCCAATCAGCTGGGTCTTCTGACTTTTTCAGAAAAGCTAGAAATTCCAATTGTTATATACACTTTCCTAATTTGTATGTTAGCCACTAATTCAACAAAATTTAATCACATACAACCTGAATCAAATCACAAGGAAACACTGAAAAAATCCAAACTGAGAAACAGTCAGTCATTTTAAAATAACTGACCTATACGCTTCAAAAATGTCATCATCATGGAAGGATAAAGAGAGCCTGGGAAGTTGTTCTGGATTTAAAGAGACTGAAGAGGCAGGGCACCTAAATGCAATGAATGATCTGAACATACTTCTGCCATAAAGGATGTTATCAGGACTGTCAGTAAAATCTGAATAAGGTCTATAGATTAGATAGTAGGATTGTAGAAATTGTAATTTTTGACTGCAGTTGTGTAAGAGAACATCCTTGATTTTCAGGAAACAAACACTGAAGTATTTAGAGGTAAAGAAGCATTATGTCTGCAACTTACTCTCAAATGGTCAGAATATATACATGGATAGCAGATCAATTACAGTGAGTAAGAGAAAGAGAAAGCAAATGGGGTAAAATGTTAACATTTAGAGAATCTGTGTACTTATAAACTTTCTATAAGTGTGAAACTATGTCAAGACAAAAAGTTAAAAATGTAGTCACTTTCCAAGTTGAACAAAATCCATCTGACTGGCAGAATGCTGGTTTGTGACTCCTGAAGTCTGGGATCTGGGAACCCTTACAAATCCCCCCTTAAACACCTCTGGGGGATCTTTTCCTTACTCCCTAGTTCTAACCCCTAACTCCAGGGATAAAGCAAGGAATCTGCAGCAGCCTGGGCATCTGGAAGGACCTCACCAAAGAAATGCAGAGCCAGTAACACTGAGGAGGGAGGGAGGTGATGCCACAGCACAGAAGCTGGCCTAGCATACATCTGGGAGAATAGAGGAGAGGAGATGGCAACTCTAGAGTACTCAGCAAAGCCAAGAGCAACATGCCCTTCTCTCACTAAGTGCATCCCCAGGTGGATTAGTCACCAACCTCACACACGACAGCATGATTCTCTTTGTCTTGGGCCTCTATTAGTTCAGCCAGGAAGTATTCACCATAAATTTCCTTCAGAATTGTGTCATAGCGTGCAAATATCGGCATGAGATCGTCGTGATCTTCCACCCTGTTTAACGGAAAAACTTAAGTTCAGTATTCATTCATTCATTTGTTCCTTCAGTGGAACACCTGCCACATGCCAGACCCTGTGCTAGGTGCCAGGGATACAGCAACACTCTCACGAAATGAGCTGACATTCTAATAGGAGAAACAGACAATTAAAATGTTAACACATTTAGATAGTGTTCGAGCATTTCAAATAGTGACATGTGCTTTGGGATGGAGAGTGAGAGGGTCAGGGGGTCAGAGTCAAGGTCCCTCTGAGCAGAGGGACATCTGAGCTGAAACCTGAATGAAGAGAAGGGGAGGAACCTAAAGGGAGAACATTCCAGGCAGCAGGAACACAACTGGCATGTCTGGATATGGGGTGTAGGGCAGCATTTGTCATGGACCAAAAGACAGGAAACTGGGAGCAGCATTGCTGAAGGGTGTCACCAAAAGCAGCATATTGATGAAAGGATTGCATATTTTAAAAAACCAAGTTTCTGCTCTGTAAAACTCAGAGCTAAGGAGACAGGTAGTCAACAGCCCACAGCACAAGGAAGAGGAAGAACAAACACAAAAGATGACAACTGGGGGACCATCACCATGACTCCCCAGGTTGAATTTTACTGTTAACCTCTTGTCAACACTCTCTGGAAGGAGACACAGCAGAGGGCCCTTATCCAGGCAACCAGATTTTCTTTTTTTTTACTATCAACCTGGTTCTGATATCACCACCACCAGTCTCATTTCTTCACACCAGGGTATCAGCAGAAATCTCTAGTGATGAAGCTAAAACAAGGAGCCAGAAACAAACACCAACTGTTTTTAGGATGGATATGACAGTACTCCTGATGCATAGTCATTTTTCAAGCTATTTCAGCCTTGCACAATTTTTAAAAAGGAGTCCTTGACCACTTGTCCATCTCTTCCTGTGCGCATGTGATCACTCTGAGCAATGGTCACTTGTGGTCGGATGCAAAGACTCCACCATGAGCACACCTCCACTTCATGCCCCCCTCTCCCCAGTGATTCTTCCCTCCCAAGCTCCCTTTCCAGGAACCCACTGATAGGGTCGTCACTGAATACATATTCAGTTCTGGTGTTAATTTCTTATGACCAAGGTGTGGCATCTGCCAACCAAAAAACATGTTCTTTGGAAACACAGGAACTCTGTAGCAGTTCTGTAGCATGCAACCCAACAGCGACAGCCAATGTGAGTCAGGCCCTTATCTAGTGCCAGGACCTTGCTGAGAATCCATATACCCTGACAGCACTGCAGGGTGCAATCACCAAGCCCAAAGAGGCACTTCTGGGAAGTCTGAACCCACAATCCAGGCTGGTGGCTCCATAGCCCTGTACTCAGCCTTCTGACTCTACTGACTAAGAAGCCAGCAAAGTCACTTCAGCACTAAACCATGATGTTCTCATCTACAAAAGGGGTGGGGGGAAGTATAGCCGTGAGCACACAAAGCAGTGATATAAGTGACACACTAAAGCCTACTCTCTGGTGCACAGTAGGCCCTCAACAAGCCTTCGATCTCCACGTGAGCCCTTAGAACCTTAGCTGAAAGTACCAAGAATGTTCCACTGCCTTCCAGAAACAGCTCACTTCCCTACTTAACCTGCCAAAATGGTGTTGCTAATGGGAGGTGGCTATTCTCTATAAAAAGAAAAGAAAAGAAAAGAAAAAAGATTCTGGGAGAGAATAGCCAACAAATCAATTTTCAAACATTTTGCCAGAAATAAAAAGTTGTGTTTTATTTTTGTTGTAGTTACATTTATTAACAGACATTTTAAATATGGGGAAATATATTAAAAAGTAGGCAAACAGCATGAATAGACACTTCTCAAAGGAAGACATACAAACAGCCAATAGACTTGAAAAAAATGCTCAGCAATACTAATAATCAAAGAAATGCATATCAAAACTACAATGAGACACCATCTCACACCAGTCAGGATGACTATAATTACAAAGTCAGAAAACAATAGGTGTTGGTGAGGCTGCAGCAAAAAGAGACTGGATGTATACTATCCATGAGAATGGAAGCTAGTGCAACCTCTGTGGAAAGCAGTTTGGACAGTGTGGTACTGGCATAATGATAAATACATAGAACAATGGAGCAGAACAGAGAGCACAGAAAGAGTCTGGGCAACTTGGCAAGACCTCATCTCTACAATAAGTCAAAAATTAGCCGGGCGTGGTAGCGCACGCCTGTAGTTCCAGCTACTTGGAAGGCTGAGGCGGAAGGATCGCCGGAGCCCAGCAGGCCGAGGCTGCAGTGGCCGGGAGTGGCCACTGCACTCCAGTCTGGGTGACAGAGTGAGATTCCAACTAAAAAAAAAAAAAGAAAGAGCCCTTCATGTATATGATCAATTTATTTTCAACAAGAGTGCCAAGACCTTTCAATGTGGGACTGTAGTTTCTAGAAATCGTGTTGGGATATTGGATGTCCACATGTAAAAGACTGAAGTTGAATTCCCCTGTATACCATTACAGAAATTAACTCAAATGGATCAAAGACTTAAATGTAAAGGCTTAGAAAACATAGGAGAAAACCTTCATGACTTTGGATTTAAAAATTGTTGGGTTTTGGTTTTTTTTGGTATAACACTAAAAACACTGGCAACAACCAAAAAAGTAGAAATATTGGACTTCATCTAAATTAAAAACTTGTATGCATCAAAAATCACTACCACGACAGTGAAAAAACACACAGAATGAGAGAGAATATTTACAAATCATATCTGATAAGGGATTAATGTCCAGAAAACAAAGAACTCCTATTTAAAAAAAAAAAAAAAAAAAGCCCGACAAAAAATGGGCAAAGGACTTGAATAGATATTTCTCCAAAGAAGATAGACAAAAGGCCAATAAGCGCATGAAAAGATACTCAACATCACTAATCATTAGGGAAATATCAGTGAAAATCACAAGGAGATACAATGTTATACCCGCTGGGATGGTGACTATCAAAAAAAAAGGAAAATAATAAGTGCTGGAGAGACTGTGGAGAAATTGGACCTCTTGTACATAGTTGGTAGGAGGGTAAAATGGTGCAGTCACTGGGAAACAGCTTGGCAGTTCCTCAGAAAATTAAACATAGAATTTCCATGTGATCCATCAATTCTACTCCTAGGTATACACCCAAAAGAAGTGACAGCAGGGACTCAAACAGATACACACACACCAGTGTTCACAGTAGCAATAGTCAATGGTAGAAACAACCCAAGTGCCCATTAACAGAAGAACAGATAAGCACATTTTGTATATATACGCACAGTGGAACATTATTCAGCCATACAAGGGATGAAATTCTGATAGATGCTACAACATGGATGAACCTTAAAAACCTTATGCTAAATGAAATAGGTCGACAGAAAAGAACAAATACTGTGCTTGTGTGATTGTACTGTATGATTCCACTTACATAAAATATCTACAACGGGCAAATTTATAGATACAGTAAATACAAGGAGGGAGCAAAAAACCCCTGGAATTATTTTTTGGAGGGCAGGCCTCTTGTAGTACAGGCTTACCCCATTAGGTAAGTGTTCTAGGAACCCATCAGCATCAATGTACCACCTAACATTGTTGTGAGAGGCTGCATTCACTTTCAGTGAATTTTTTCTTTTGGAGATTCTTTCAACAATTTTGCCCATTTCATGATGGGTGATTTATGAGCACACCTGCCCACAATGCATTGAGTATTCAGCAGTTTTTGACCAAAAACAGCATGACCCCCATGCCCCACCCTCCCTATTCACCCCATCTCACCCCAAACAACTTTTTTTTGTTTGTTTTCCCAGATGAAAAAAGTCCACCAAGAGAAACATTTTGCTGATGTGGAAGAGGTGAAATGAAAAATGGAGAAGCATTCAAAGGAATCAAAATTGACAAGTTCAAAAACAGTTTTGTGGAAAAAGATCTTGATAGGTTTATTGCATCAAACAGAGAATATGTTGAAGGTGACTGAAGTTTAAACATGTAAAAATAAATACTTTTTTTATAAATTAGTTAAAAAAAGAAAGCAGTTTGGAGATTTCTCAAAGAACTAAAAATAGAGTTACCATTCAACCCAGCAGTTCTACTTCTGGGAATATACCCAAAGGAACATAAATCATTCTACCAAAAAGACACCTGTACTTGTTTGTTTATTGCAGCACTATTCACAATAGCAAAAACGTGGAACCAACCCAGATGCCTGTCAATAGTGATCTGGATAAAGAAATGTAGTACATATATAAAATGGAATACTATGCAGCCATAAAGAAGAATGAAATCATGTCCTTCACAACAACATGTATGTAGCTGGAGACCATCATTCTAAGTAAATTATCAAAGAAACAAAAAACTGAATACTGCATGTTCTCACTCATAAGTGGCCACTGAGCACTGGGAACCACACAAGCACAAAAATGGGAACAAACAACCAACATTGGGCACTACTAAAAGAGGAAGGGGAGGGAGGGCAAGGGATATTTAAAAACCACCCATTGGGTACCACGCTCACTACTGGGGGGAGGACTTATCAGAAGCCCAAGCCTCGCCTTCATGCAATATACTTATGTAACAAATTCTCACACGGACTCCATGATTCTAAAATTTAAAAAATAAATAAAAAAGAATCAATCACTAAATAATGAGAAAATAATTCAATATCCCAATCAGTTAAAAAGAATCAATATAGCAATCACACAGAGAACTCCATAATCAACTATGTACCACAGGCTTTAAATTTATATGATGGACACAAAAATACTACTCCATGGTTATAAAATACAGGAATAAAGGTTCAGAGGACTCAGGGCCCTAAGCCTTCCCATGAGCCCTCTGCAGCTCATTAACAAAGTTACCCATAATCATACCTCAATATGAATTCTTCCGGGAAAAAGAAGAAGAAAACATCCAAATCTTAGAATTTGAAAGAGGCTCCTCCTTAAGCCTTTCCTCAAAATGGATAAAGAAGGACTTGTTCTGCTAAATGCATTCCTTGGGGTAATTGATAATTTATGACCTTG